GCAGGGTTCCTCTGGGTCCCTTCACAATAACTGTGCGTCCCTTCAGAGAGATGTCGACTACGAGAGAACGTATTTGTGAGGCCTCGGAACAAGGTACAAAGCAGGCAGTAAAGACGTGAGAAGAACACAAACGTCAGGTCTCATACCATTTTCTGGAATGTCGACAGTCTGATTGCTGAGAATGGTCTTCATTCTGAAACACAAACACCTGGGGTTACGAGGCCGGCGCGGGGCCCGTTTGCGGCCGCACTACCCTGCGCGGAGCTCCACTCCTCCCGGAGCCTGGCAAGCAGAAACCCGCGGCCGGACACAGAGCACCCACCGGGAGCACAGCCCCCGCTGAGTCCCGGCCTGGGAAGAGCAGCTCCTAAGCAGGTATTATGAGCACAGCCGGCGAACTCCCGCCCGGCGCAACCCTAGCAGCCCTATTACGGCGGCGCCAGCCCGGCAAGGCTGAGGGGCGGGGGTAGGCCAACAAGTCCAATACAGCGCTCGAATCCCAGGGCCACCAGATCCATATGGCGCTCGCCACGCTGGGGAACAACCAACATAGACGCTCCGAGCGCCAGACTCGCGCCCGTGACCTTCCCCGCGCCGATGGCTTCAGATTCCCAAAACCCACAAAGTTCAGAAACAACCTCACCTCGCAGGAGATGCGGCAAAGAGAGAACGTCTTTCGTCATCACGTTCTTGTAGCCCGTAAGACCCCTGCGTATGACGTCACGAGCGCGCGACGCTACCAGGCGAAAGCAGCCAATCGCGGAGCAGCTCAAGTCCCTCCGGGTCAGTGGTGGCTCAGGTTGCTTGTCATAAGCCGAGCGACGGTTTGTTGATCTGTCTTTCCTGGGAATTAGCGATCCCTCGACCCTGCTAGAAAAAAAAGAGAGGGATGTCTCTGCGCTGCGGGGGCGCCGCCTGCGCCGTGGGGCCCCGGGTGAGCGGCGGGGCGAGCAGGGTGCGGGCCGGGGTGGAGGGGCTCCCATCTCTTCAGAGCGCCCAATAATAAGGCCAGCACTTACTGAGCGTTGACTTTTAGCTAGGCGCTGATCTAAAATTTTTCATGTAGTATCTCATTTAATTCTCCCGACACACGATCGTGTAGAGTCTCTGGTATTGGTTTGTAGGTCTCTCTGGCAGGCGATGAGGGCTTTTTTTTTTTTTCTGCTGTCAGAGTGATCTGAACCCTGTATTAATTGGAGCATTATAGGAGCACTGCGTTGAGCACGCCAAATTCCTACTTGTGATGGGCTCTTACTTTGTACTAGACACCAGTCTGGGCTATGAGAACAAAAACCTGTGTTCTGCTTTAGCGGCAGAGTGATCAAATGCAGTAGCAATACCGCAGCACCCCAACAGGCACTCTTTTTTAATTGTTGAGGGTTCTCTTGCGTTGCATGTACTGACTCCTGAATTTTAGTGTTTTGGCTATCTCGTACACGTTTGTGTTCAGATCTAGAAGCCAGTGGTTTCTTACGGTCAACAAATGTATATTGAGTGACTACCGTGTTCAAACATAGAATGTAATCTAGAAAATTAAAACATTAGGTTTGGTTTCCCTCCTTTCAGTTCTCTGAAACCAACTGAGCATTACCTCTACATTTTAACACCTATGTCTATCCAAAGCCCAAATAAGAGAGACTTACTGCAAATTTCCTTTTAAACGTCCTTGACTCGACTCAGGACTGGAAAATTGAAAGCTGTGGCATCTCCAGTTATTATTGCAGTTTAAACTTTATGAAAGACAGACTTTTAGTAGTTAAGTGGGTTACATGAAAGTGTGACATATGTGAGCCAGGTCCAAAGGTTTCCAAATCTATTGTACCTCTAGCAGTAAACATTTAGCTCCCATTCTCTTTTAGGTTTCGTTTGTTCTTAAAAGAGACTTTAATCCTAGATTCTGAGCTCCTAGACAGAGCTTGAAAATTGTTCAATATAATTTCTCTATCAGTTCTCTGGTTTTACCCTCTCTTTTTAGGTATGTAAATAGGTTAAAACTAAGTTATTTCAAACCCCACTAAATACATGTCTTAACGAACTCTGTCTTTAGGTATTTGGAAGATATTTATGCAGTCCAGTCAGAGCAGTAAGTTCCTTGCCAGATAAAAGAAAAGAATTCTTACAAAATGGACCAGACCTTCAAGATTTTGTATCTGGTGATCTTGCAGACAAGAGCAAGTGGGATGAATATAAAGGAAACTTAAAACGCCAGAAAGGAGAAAGGTAATTGAAATTTTGAGGTAAATTCCTTCATTGTGCTTTATTTTCAGGTATAACCAAGCCCTAGATTATAATTTTAATCAGACTTGGTATATTTAGCTAAAAATCATTAGAAGTGATAACAGCCATTTACAACAACGTGGATGGAACTAGAGGGTATTATGCTAGCAAAATAAGTCAATCAGAGAGAGAATTAGTATATGATCTCACTGATACATGGAATTTGAGAAACAAGGCAGAGGATCATAGGGGAAGAGAGGAAAAAATGAAACAAGGTGAAACCAGAGAGGGAGACAAACCATAAGAGACTCAAATCTTAGGAAACAAACTGAGGGTTGCTGGAGGGGAGGGGGTGGGAGGGATGGGGTGGTTGGGTGATGGACATTGGGGAGGGTATGTGCTATGGTGAGTGCTGTGAATTGTGTAAGACTGATGAATCACAGACCTGTACCCCTGAAACAAATAATGCATTATATGTTAATAAAAAAGAGAAAGAAAGAAAGAGAGGTAACAGACATAGAATAGGTAAATAGCTGAAATTGTTGGAATCCTCTTCTCTGTGCTCTTTGACAGTTTTTCTTCAGTCTTCCGAGGACTTAGCCATCCTATACTACCATCTCCCTTTGTGCATTCAACATAAAATTTCTTCATAGAGCAAACATTATCACCTTGCTACTAGCCGATTTGATCTTGATAAATTTTTCATTGTTACTGGGTATTGGTATGCTTCTCCTATTCAGTGTACATATGACTTATGGATACCTTGCCTTAATTCAAAAGAATGGTGAGGGAATTTCGCAGAGAGGACAAATTGTTTTGGGAGGTACCCTACCCAACAACTTCTAGTTCACAAGTGGATGTAAGTCAAGGGGAACCCGAGGATACATAGTCTTCACTCCAAATTTTAGATTTTTTTCCATTTAATAACCATCACAAATCTGGAATGTAGAGCAGAACACTGGAACACTTGTGGGATCTCTCCTTTCTCTGAACAAATAGAGAACTTTTGTCAATATTATTCACTGGGGAATGAGATGTTCAAAAACTTCCTCATTCTTTCATGAAGATGGCATTACTTTCTGACTTTGCAAAAGGTAGACATGAGCATAGTGCTCTGTTAGACACAATTATGAGGGTTTTCTGAAGTGGTTTGAACAAGCCTAAATTTGAGTCTCTGTTCTTACTCTTATAACAGAAATTGTAAGAGTTAACCCAGGATTATGGAAAAAAAACCTCTGCACTAAGAATTGTTACAGAGCAAAGTAACTTCAAAGCTGTGTGATTATTTGGGAACATATTTGTTAATGGATAGTTATGTTTGACTTTCCTCAGGTTAAGACTACCTCCTTGGCTAAAGACAGAGATTCCCATGGGGAAAAATTACAATAAACTGAAAAATACATTGCGGAATTTGAATCTCCATACAGTAAGTTTCAAAGTGTTAAATGTCCCTCTTAATTAAAAGTCGTAGTGTTTCTGCATATGTGTAACTTAAAATTTAATAAAACACATATCAAAAGCAGCAAGGAAAGTGAATAAAGATGTTTAGAGATGCATTATTATCAGTAATGGAAATACATTTTTTTAAGAGATTTTGTTTCTTCATCTGAGACACAGATACAGAGAGTGAGCATGAGCATGGGGAGACGCAGAGGGAGAAGCAGGCTCCCCACTGAGCCAGGAGCCCAATGTGGGACTCGATCCCAGGACCTTGGGATCATGACCTGAGCCAAAGGCGGATGCTTAACCATCTGAGCCACCCAGGTGCCCCTGGAAATACATTTAAAAATCATTTTCCCGGGGCATCTGGCTGGCTTGGTCGGTAGAGCATGCAACTCTTGATCTTGAGATTGTGAATTCAAACCCGATGTTGGGTGTAGAGATTAGTTAAAATTAAAATTTAAATTAAAAAAAAAATTTTTTTTAGGGACGACTGGGTCACTCAGTCAGTTGAGTGTCTGCCTTCAGCTCAGGTCATGATTCCAGGGTCCTGGGATCGAGTCCCGCATCGGGCTCCCTGCTCTGCGGGGAGCCTGCTTCTCCCTCTGCCTGCCGCTCCCCCTGCTTGTGCGCGCGCTTGCTCTCCCCTCTCTCTCTCTGACAAATAAATAAGTAAAATCTTAAAAAAATTTTTTTTAAATCATTTTCCTTGCAAAAGAAACAAAAGGTAATTATATTTCTTAATTTCACACTTAATAGTACAAAAAAAGATTTTTTCCCCTGCAACTTAGGAGATGAGAGGTTTTTTCTATGTTTTGTATTACAAATTAAATACATGCTTATTGGAAAGAATATAATGTTAAATGTGAAGCATCATATATGCAATCGCAAACGTTAACTACACCACTTTTATTTTTTAGCATATTTCCATCCAGGCCTTCTTTGCATGTATAAAATATATCCATTCCTATTGTTTTTAATTTAAAAATGGGATCCTGATATATATACAGTTTGACAGTTTAACAGCATTTTTGAATAGTGACTTTCTTCATAAATACATTGTAAAGAGTGGACAGTTTAAGATGCCTGATGACTACTTTGCTCAGCTGGTTAATATTTTCAACTTGATTGTATTCCATTCCTTCTTACTCACAGGTGTGTGAGGAAGCTCGATGCCCCAACATTGGAGAATGTTGGGGAGGTGGGGAGTACGCGACCGCCACAGCCACAATCATGGTAAGAACAACCTCAGCCTGTGAAGTTTTAGTCTAGAAACTGAAAGGGATATTTTATGTCTTTCTCCTAAAAATGTGCACTCTGAATCTCTGGCCAGATTTTTTGTTACATATGAATTTATGAGAAATACGAGGGAAAAAAACCTGACAAAATAGTCTAGGCTGATACACTCTCATCCTTCTCTGAATAAAACTATTATTGATTTTTCCATGTATGTGACAGTTAATCATGTGCTACATTAAGATACCTCTTCTGTTAATTTTTGGAAATGTTATTCATGATTGCTTAACTTTTTCCCCCTAAACAATAATAAGCATTTATTTTTCTGTCTATGGCCTGGGGTATAGCTGCTCTTGACAGGGCTGAAAATGGACTGCAGGAAGTAGGTTGAGGTCTCAGGGTTCAGGTCTGCTCCACAGAGCTTTATTCTCCTTAGACCAGCAGGTCTCCAAGCCACATTCTTATCATGAAGAATGGAAAGCACCAGAGAGCAAGCCAACCATCCATGCACATTTGAGGCCTCTGCTTGGTCATGCCTGCTGTCATTCTGTTGGCCAAAGTAAATCACATGGCCAAGCCGAACAGCAGTGGAAGTAGAGGTATAAGCTCCCCCCTCCTCAGTAGGAGGGCCCTGCAAGTTAAATGAAAAAGAGTGAGATGTATAATCTTAATATGGTGGAGTCAGGATTGGCATTAACTGTGCACACTACCATATTTATCCAGAGGGGCTTGGAGATTCAGGTATCGGGGTTAAATCTAATTCTGTGCAACTGAAAGTTCATACTTATCTGGGAATGTCTGTGTTGTACCAGT